AGGCATTACCTCTGCCCAGAAATTCCTTTTTGTAAGAGACAAAATTCAAGACCCCTTTCCCCTCCCCTGCTGTCTCCAGCCCTTCCGCCCCGCCCCCCCTTGGCTTTCCGCCTCTGCCTCTCCTCCCCGTAGTCTCACTTCTTCCCTGTCTCCGCAGAGGGCGGTTCAGGCTGAAGGAGCGAGAAGAGATGTGGCACAAGGTGGAGGAGCTGGCCCGGCAGAACCCGCAGGTGAAGATGTAACTGGCAAGGGCTGGCCGGGGGAGGGCGCTGGCTTCTGAACACGGCTGACTTGGCCTGCGCAGAGCAGAGCCTCTCAGCGGGCTCCACCCCCTTGCTGAAGGTCCTGGGCAGGTGTGGAGCCCCGGGGGCAGCTGGTGCTTCAGCCCTTGTCATGACGCGGTTACCTATGGCCACTGCCTCCGGTCTCCCAACTGGCCTCTGACGTCAGTGGCGTTGGACCAGCTGTTCCCTGGAACCGCCCGGTTACCGAGCAGGGAGTGTGCCCCAGACTGGCCCTTTCCTGCCGGGCCAGCCCAGGCGTGGAGCATGGCAGGCCACGCGGCTCGGCCAGCGAAGGGTGGGCCCCCAGCCCTGCCGCGTGCTGGCGTGAGGGTGGAGGGAGCTTTGCAGTTGGTGGGAGCCCTGTCCCTGTGGGGCTAGCAGGGGGATTCTGGTGCCGGAGTGCAGGTGCCACTAACCTAACTCTTTGTTCGTTGCCCGCAGTACCCCATGTATTACGCACCCCCGCCTCTGCCTCCCGTGTACTGCATGGAGACCGAGACCCCCACTGCGGAGGACATTCAGCTACTGAAGAAAACAATGGAGACAGAGGCTGTGCAGGTGAGTCAGGGCCCCGCTCCCTGTAGCGTTCCTCCGAGGCGGCCACTGCCCCGCGGGTGGCTCCATAAGAACCGAGAGATTGCCGGCCTGGCTCAGAGCAGGGCCCATCCAGGCCAGCGGCCCGGGGCCAGTGCCAGGCGGTTCTGAGGAGGCTCCTCAGCGGGGAGAGAGAAATGTGGGAGGATTTCTGGCCCTTCAAACCTGTGTTGGCATTTGCTGGTCGTGCTCCAGGTAAGTGTCCCCCTCCTGTGAGTCCTGCTTAGCTCCTACACGAGTGTGCGTGTCGTGACGGCAAGGGGCTCTGGGGCGTAGCCGCAATTTCTCCCAAGCACGCAGGGACCAGGTAGAGCTGTCCTACCCTCGCAGGGTGAGGCCAGGGCATGTGAGCCGGAGCCACCTCTGCTCCCTCTGGGCTAGGGGAAGGCGAGGTGCTCTCTGGTTAGCTCGTCCCGTGAAGCTGAGCACTGACCCCGGCCTTTCTCTAGATGCTGAAAGACATCAAGAAGGAGAAAGTTTTACTGCGCCGGAAATCGGAGCTCCCGCAGGATGTCTACACTATAAAAGCCCTGGAGGCCCACAAGAGAGCAGAAGAATTCCTCACCTCAAGCCAAGAGGCGCTCTGACGGGCTAGGGAGCTGCCCTGGGAGCCCTGGCCCCCATTCCCTGCCCCGGGGGTCCCAGACATGCACTTGGGTCTAATGTATAACTAGGGAACGAACATGGTGAGCTGTGCCTGTCCACGCCATCCTCATTCTTTCAGGGGAGAGTTGGTTTGACATCGTACCTCGTATCTCATCGCATTGTCCCCGCCTCCCTCTCACACTGGTCTGTGGGTGCATCATTCCAGGCAGGAGTCATTCCGTTCCCTGCTGCCGGGACGTGGGGCCAAAGCCTCCTGCCTGCTCCGCGGCTGGCCGGGTTTTCTCGGCCAATCACCCACCCCCAGGCCCCGAGCGTGTACCGTTGTCTGCAGCCAGGCCCGCTGGGAGCGGCTCAGTCCGTGTCAGGACTGCGAATTCTCAAGGGCTCTTTCCAGTCCAGCTGTAAGTGTCCTCCATGGGGGTTTCCCTTGGCAGGCGAGTCCGCTCTGGACTGGCCCAGCTTGGCAGGAGAAGGGACATTAACCTGAACTTTTCCTTTTTCACTGACTCTCCCCCCTTCTCCAGGGGGACTCTGCCATCTTTGAATGGAAGCACATTGTTCCTCTCCCTTTGCACCGCCTGCAGGAATTAAGTTCTTCCTTTGGCATGACACCCTCCCCCAAAGGCTCTTACAGGAGAGAGTGTCGCTTTCTCCAGCCATTCTTCCTCTGCTCTGGCCGTCCCCTAAACATGGCACCTCCCTCTGGTACTGAGATTCCAGGGGCAGGTGCCCCTGCTCAGGCTGCAGGCCCCCAGCTGGGTGCTGGCCTCTAGTGGGTGCCATGTCCCAGGGGCATCCGCTGCTCCATCTCAGCACCAGCTGGGCCCTGGTGTGGATTCCTCGCCACTGGGAGTGAAGCACTGGGCAGGGGGCAGGGAATAGGCTGTTGCCGGTGCACTGTGGAAGCCGTAGCTGCTGCAGGCGGCCTGAGCCAGGCTCACTTTCTGCTGGCCCGGTGGCAGGCGGCTGCTCTTGCAGCACAGGAGGGAGGAGCGTGCGCCAGTAGCTCAGGGCAGGTAACCGAGGGGCTATTGGTGTCCGGGGGGGGGGCTCCTTTGCATCCCGGCTCTGTGCTACCTTTAACAATCAGTGGCTGGGGCTGCCCTGGAGCATGGTGTCTGCGCTGCACATCCAAGTGTCCCCCTGCTGCTCTCCTGCTCCCCCCAGCCCTGGCTCCTTTGTCTAAACCCTGGGCGGGGGCCCCTGCCTGGCCATACTGAGCTCTGTTCCTGCTGCTGTTCCTTGGGGCCCGCTCCTGCTCTGGTGAATGCCCATCGCCCCTCCCCGAAGCAGCTGGCGGGGGTGTGTTGGCGCAGTCACTCCCAGGGCAGGTTTAGTTCTCTGGAGAGGTTGCTTCTCTCCCAGCCTCACTGGCCCGTCCCACTCTGGCCCCAGCCCCCAGCAGCCTCCTGTCAGTCGTACTGTGGGCTCATTCCCATCTCATCTCCGCCCGACTGTACTGTGCGCGACTGTTAGCCTGGAGCCAGGTGCTCAACCGGGGGGGGGGGGGGAAATGGGGGGGCTTCAGAAATATTTGAAGTGGCCCCAGAAGGGGCAGGGCCAGGACAGCTCCATGCTGCTCCACCCACAGACCCTGATTGGCCAAGGGATGGGGGGAGCAGGCAAAGTCTTTGCCTCCCTGGAGAGAACCACCAGCTGTTCTGAACATCTGGCAGTTCCCTCTAGGTGCCTGTGCCCCTTGCCGGGCAGGGGCCAGGAGCGAGACCACACGCTCTCCCTGGCCGATTGGCCGGGTGTCCACGGCCCGGATCAACCTGCTTGGCAGGCCCGGTGCTAACCGCTTACCACGGGCCTGGCCCAGCTCCGCTCCCGGCCCCACGGCAGGCGTAATGCTGGAGATGGGCAGGGAGCGTGTGCAGGAGTCTGTTGGGACGGTGCGGAGTCCTTTCTACCACAGGGGGACAAAGCGAGGGCTGGGCTGGGGCAACGGAAAGAGAAGAACTAGGACGTTGGCTTGGGGTTGTAACAAACACTGGCAGGACCCCACGGAGCAAGCGCCATGTCGCCCAGCTCGGAAGTGCTTCAGTGGGGTGCAGGCAGCTGCTCTGGGGCGCGCTCATGGGCGTAAATGGCCTGAACCCAGGGAAAGTGGCTTGGCTGTAGGAGAGGGGGGGGACGTACCTGCATTTCAGGTGAGGATGCTCCTCTCTGCTGCCTGTCCGGAAGAGTAGCCATGAAACTTTCCACCTCCATGTCCAACCAGGCCAGCACGGCCGCCCGGGCAGAGCACTGCCTGCTGGATGACAGACGTACATCGCCCTCTTTAATCTGCTTGTGGGTCAGGGACCCTCCCGTTTAGTACGTTCCAATTAGTTTGCTGCCTCTTCATTCCTGTGTCCTGCGTACATGGGGGGGGTGGGTGCATGCAGCACCCCTGCAGAGCTGGCAGCAGCGTTACAGGTAGTACGCAGCCCTGGGGAACTGTCCGCTAGGCCAGTTGTCTCTTGTACCCCACCTGTTTCCGAGCAGTCATGCTGATTTCTGCCTGTGGGCCCCTCTCCCCTCCTTCAGAGTTGGAGCTGCCTCTTCCACTTCTCCCATAGCCCAGCCCATCATGAGGGGAAAAGCAAAACTAACCGATGCAGTCACGCCCCAGACAAGTGTTAAGCTGCTTACAGATCATATGTACATATGGTGTACTTTATTTTCAGTAGAGCATAATAGTATGAAAGTGTTGGATTTTGTACAGCTGTCTCTGTATGTACAGAACTAAATAAAATGGATCCCTTGGAAAGACGCCACCCGAGCCTCCAGCTCCTGTGATCCGGCACAGCACCGTTGTTTGCGCTCCACAGCGGGCGGGGGCCACGCATGCACGGGTGAGAAGGGAAATCCCCTTTGGCACTAGCACAGCTCTGGCTCGAGCCAGCAGTGCCCATGGGGCACTCCAGTTCCTGGGGGGCAGAGTACTACTGACGACACCACAACAACACACCACGCTAGCTGAGAGCCGGGGGTAGGAAAGGAGGAGACGAGACAGATTTTGGGTCAGACAGCTTCAGTGGGAGACAAACCAAACCGCTTAGTGCTTCAGTGCCGGGGGAGGCCAAGTCCGACCCGTCAGAGGGGCGAGGGCCCTGGTCTGCCTCCCATCCTAGTCCCTGGTTAAAGCGTACAGGGGAGCACTTGGTCCTCGGCTCTCCCAGCAGGGACCTGGCGCTGGCTCTGGCTCTGCACGTCACTTCAGTTCCGGCCTAGAGGCGCTGAGATTCTGCCTGGCCTGCAGCGTTCGCTGCACCATAGCCGTCCACTGATCCTCCGAGATCTCGCTGGCCCACGCCGGGATTCCCAGGGTAGGCAGCTTCACCCCCGCCATCGTCCTTTTCACCAGCTCCACGTGTTCTAGAGACAAGCAAAGTCAGAGCACGAGGCCGGAGGAGCACCCAGCCCCACCGGTTCTGAAAGCTCCAAGCAGCCAGCACGAGCGCTGCCTCTCACTATCGCAAACTACTCCCCTTGGTCTGGAATAGAGGGAGGGATCCCTTACCTGGGTCCATAGGGATGGAACTTTGGCTGCTCTGAGCAGCAGCCCCCTCCTCCTCCTCCTCACTATCCACAGGGGGGTCCGGCAGGTGCAGCCTCAGCATCTGCAGGGCACAACACAATCCTCAGCAAAGCCCTCGGGCAGAACACGGTCTCCCTCCGCATCCAGCCCGGGCCTTCGCCCCAGCCCCACACGCCTCACTACGCCAACCCAGAGTCAGACCCCCCCTCCCCCAAGTACTGATGTAACTCCCCCTTCTCCCTCCCTCAGTGTGCCGTGAGCAGTGCTGCCTACGCTGACAAGTTCAGAGTGAGGAAAGCCATTCTGGTCCCGCTGTAGGAGCGGTCACCAACTGAGCTCAGGGCCCCCCTGGGCGTGGCAACGTACAAGCACAGTGAGATAGGCCTGGCCCTGATGGGCCTGCAAACAAGAGCAGAGCCTAATGAAGTGTCTGTAACAGGAGATGGACCTGGAAGTCGCCCCGGCTTCTCTAAAGATTAGATGGGAACTTTTAACACTGCCTGGGACTCTGAGACCGACAGCTCATTACCAAAGCTCAGAGGCAATCGAGTCCGCTGCCAAGCACTAATGTGGCACCTTTAGCGAAGCAGCTTATTTTCTGGAAAGACGTTTATTCGATCCCGTTCTGTCCTTTCTGGAGTTCAAGGGCAGCGTCTGTCGCTCTGCGTGCACGCAATCTCCTACACAGCACGCTCAAAGACCTCCCAAATCTGCCACCCCCCGTGCGCGAAGGAGCGGCTCCAGTTAACCAGAATGCAAACACTACAGAAGTAACTTTCAAGCCAACATTAACATTATGCAATATAAAATCACCCCCATTGTTGCTGCAAAGCTGAGCTGCAGCACCAGCCCCCTTCTAGGCCTGCCACAGGATCGGCTGCCACAGGTTTTAAGGGCACATCACCAGCAGGTGACACAAATCCTTGAGAGGCTGCAGGATGCGAACTCCAGGCAATATGATTCTTGCTTTCTCTAGATGCCTCCAGGAGCAGACTGTGGTCTAGCAATTACATTTGACAACTGCAGCCCTGTTAATGTCACCTGCAGGGAATGAAGTCCAGCGCTAGTGTAAACGCATGAGCCAATACCACTTGATCTAAAGAACAAGCTTACCATGGACCATAAACCTCCATGGGATCCAGCCGTTAAAAGGTGACTGAGCCACACTGTGGTAGCGTGGGTCACAAACGTCTTTCTGAAAGACTGGGGAGGGGGTGCAGGAGGCACGAGTCGATCACGTAGCAGAGCCAAGCACCAGAGATCAGAGCTCTCTACAGCTTTGCCTAAAGCCACCAGCGCTCAGGCACGCTGTCTGTGCAAAGGGCAAACGATACGTTAGCCACCAGGGCGGCAGCACGAGTCCCTGGCTCGTACAGGATGTGAAATGCAAGGAAGTCACAGAAGCTAATAGAAGAGCTGGGACTAGAACTCTTGCTCTCCAGTGGTTTAATGCCCCTAGACCAGGGGTGGGGAACCTAAGGCCTGGGGGCCAGATGCAGCCCCTGGGTTGCCTGGATCTGGCTCACGAGGCTTAGGGCCTCCCCCAACTTTGGGGAGCTCATGTTGGCGCTTCAGCCCCCCGCCACCTCTCCACAGCCCCCGACTGAGTTTTCTGTGGGTCAGCAGCCTCCACCCCACACACCTACAGGGCGCTGTGGGACATGGCATCGTGCTGGCAGATTCTGCTTCCCCCAGAATACGAGGGCCAGTTACTCACATCGTGGCTAGACAGCCCCCCGCAAAGGCCAAAATCACTTTACCCACAACGTGGCAGCGCCGCCCCCCCCCGACCTGCACCCCCCACACGTACACACACCTGCAATCGCTCCTGGATGCCAGAGGTCGTCTCTGCAGGGCCTGGGGGCTCCTCAGCTGCCAGCGAACCCTGGTCCCACAACCCCGGCTCCGGATCCTGGGTCAGGGGCTGGGGGACACAGGCTCCTGGATGCCAGAGGTCGTCTCTGCAGGGCCTGGGGGCTCCTCAGCTGCCAGCGAACCCTGGTCCCACAACCCCGGCTCCGGATCCTGGGTCAGGGGCTGGTAGACATAGCCGTCCCCGCCCTCCTCCTCCTCCTCCTCGGGGTCCTCGCTGCTCCAGTCCCCGGGCGGATCTGGGGCTCCCTCAGGCACCTCCTGCGGCCCCAGCTCCTCGTGCTCATTGGGACAGATCCGCTCAGGGCCCATTGTCCATGCAGCCACCAGCTCAGCGGCCATGCGCCAGCACCTCGGCCTATAGGAGAGCGGATCCACAGTGCTCAGCCCCCAACAGGCCCTGGGAC